AAAGGGCCGTGCCCCTCCCCCAGGGCTGGCCACGGTTCGAGTCCCGGACCTGGCGGCTTGCTTTCTTACTCTCTCTCTCTCTCTGTCAAATTAAAAAAAAAAAAAAGAATAAATAAAATTTAATAATTATTAAAAAAGAATTATGTTATTGAGTTTATTTTTTATTATTACTTTTTAATTTGACCAGAGAGAGACAGAGACAGACAGAAAGAAAGAGAGAGAGTGAGTAAGAAAGTAAGAAAGCAAGCTGCCAGGTTCGGGACTTGAACTGTGGTCAGCCGTGTGGGAATCCAGTGCTTTAACCACCATGCCATCTGCTAGCTTTTGGAGTATATCCTTTACTGTTATTTTTCCCATCAGGTAATATGCCTGTGTGAAGAAACTGGCTGCGTTAGCTGATGGTTCAATACTGGCACGTTGTTGTGGCTGCCTATAAGCAGGCATCCTGTCAAGACTACATTTAAATACAGTATTTTTCCTTTTAAGAAAACAAAAATTCTCATGCCATTCTATTTTGGGATTTACTTCAAATATTGTGATATATGTAAAATAATTAGCTGCAATTTAATTTGATTTTAAATTACATTTGAAATTCCACTTAAAGAGATGTGTTTTTTTCCTAATGGGGACCTTGAACTGATATTGCATTTGGAAGCAGCTTGCAACACCTACATGTGTGTTACCTGATTGTTTTAACGGCTTCTTCATCTCTCTCCACATCAAGATCTGCCGGATCCAGGAAAAACATTTTATCTTCTGGGGGAGATGGTTCTTCCACATCATCCAAGCCCCGGCTACCATCACTGTGCACATCATTACTGTCAATGTCCATTGGTATATCTGTATCTGCTCCCAGGCTAGAAGGTTCTGGCAAAGTTTTAAACACATTTCAGAGTTTTCCATTAATGGAATATCAATAAACGCAACAGAGGCAGTCTAGTAAATGTGGAAAAGGTTTTAAAATGCTTAAAAATACAAGAAAACATAATTATGATTCAAAATTTTTTTTGAGAGTTTTTTGCTATAGGGTGTGTGTACTCGCCAGGAAGAAAGAGAGGGACAGAGAGACAGAAAGCGAGAAATCACCCCCCAGGGTGGATGGCCATGCCACAATTCCTTCTCCTCCATTCTTCTCTCGGGATCTTGGGCATGCACACACGCCCAGCATGAGTTTAAGTCACCGGGTCCGGGACTTGGACCGCGGTCAACTACATGGGGGTCCAGTGACATAGTCATTATGCCAACTGCTGGTCCCTCAAGTATTTTTTTTAAAGAAGATTCAAAATGCTCAAATCATAAGGCACAAAATTAATTAAATCCAGTTAATTACTTTGATCAATTAGAATTTCAAATTTCTGCATGACAAAAAGTATTATAAGCAAAGAGATAAGCCACCAATATATTATGGTCACCTGATTTTTGACAAGTGACAAGACAAGTCAATAGGAGAAAGAATAGTCTTTAATAAATAGTAGGAGGTCAGCTGGATATTTACATGCATGAGAATCAAGTTGCATCTTGTCCTTAAATCATATACAAAAATTAACTCGAATTAAATCACAGACCTAAAATATAAAAGCTAAAACTAAAGAACCCTTAGAAGAAAACTAATCTTTATGATCAAGGGTTAGGTAGAGACTTCCTAGATGCAAGATCAAAAACAAAAGTGACAAAAGAAAAAGTAAATACATTGTACTTCATCAAAGCCAAAAACTTTTGTGCTGCAAATGTTACTCTAAGAAAGTGAAAAGATTGATTCTGCAACTGGAGTCCAGGACCAGGAAGCTTAGAAAAATACTCCAGGTACATATGTGTGAGTTCCCAAAATTCCTTGAGGAGAATAGAGAAGAAGGAACTGCAATGAGGCCACCTCCCCAATATCCCCACCTTGGATGATTTCTCACTTTCCCTCCCTTTGTATCTCTCTCTCTCCAGTGAGTGTATGTGCCCTATAGGAAAAATCTTAAAAAAAAAAAAAAAGGGAAAAAATAAAAGAAAGTGAAGATAGCCAAGAGGACAAAAGTATTTGTAAATCATGTATCAGATAAGGGATTTATTTTCAGAATAGCTAAAGAATCCTTGAAACTCAGTAAAAAGATAAACTAGCTAATGGGTGAAGAATCTGAATAGATATTTTTCAAGGAAGATATAAAACTGGCTAAGCACATGAAAACATGATTAGCATCATTAGCTTTCAGGGAAATGCAAATGAAAACCACGGTGAGATACCACTTCATACTCACCAGCATGGCTGTTATTAAAAGACAAGTGGTGGCGAGGTTGCAGAAAAATTAAAATCCTCATACCCAGCTAGTAGGAATGTAAAATGGTGCAGCTGCTTTAGAAAACAGCTGGTCAGACCTCAAATTGTTAAACATAGAGTTACCATATTACTCAACAATCCCACTACCACGTATCTACCAATTAAAATAAAACAATATGTTTATAGAAAAATTATACTTAAGTGTTCACGGCAGTATTATTCATAATAGTCTTAAAGTGGATACAATTCAAAAGTCCACTGACTGGTAAATGGACCAGATAAATAAAATGCAGAGGAATCTTACTTGTCAATTAAAAAAAAAATGAAGTATTGACATATGTTAAAAATGGATGAGCCCTGAAAGCATTATACTAAGTGAGAGAAACGAGTCATGAAAGACTAGATATTGTATAATTCCGCTTATATAAAATGTCTATAACAGATAAACACATAGAACTGAAGAGTTGATTCGTCATTGCCAGTAGCTAGTGGGGACGAGAGAAGTGAGCAACTACTAGTGGGTATGGAGTCTTTTCGGAGTGATAACAATGTTCTCCCATTAGACTACAGCAATGGCTGCATAACTCTGTGAATATATTAGATTGATAAACTGTAAGGTATGGAAATTGCATTTTAATAAAGCTGTTAAAAAAACTAAGCCATTGACAAAAAAGAGGTATTTGTATTACACATAACTCAGAAGGGATTAGTTGGTAGAATTATCAACAACTTCTGCAAATATAATAATAAACACACAAATAAACATTTAAACAGCCAATTTATAGGGGAACAAGCCCTAAATAATTACTAAACATCTCAAAGATATTCAAACTCATTGTAATCAGAGAAGCACACATTAAAAAACAGTATTTCATATCTCTTGGTCAAAAGGGAGAAAACCACAAAAATATAAATATATGAACTATACATCTAGAAAAGACTTCAGTCATAAAGAAAAGTTGCATCAATTCAGGTGAATTGACAGAGAAAAACCAATCACGTTCTGCAGTGGCGTTAACCAGCTCTATGGTCTGAATGCGTGTCCCTCCCAACATTCATGTGTTGACATCCTAACTCCCTAAGTATGAGACCTTTGGGAGTGATCAGATCATGAAGGCTTTGCCCTCATGACTGGGACAGTGCCTTTATAAAAAGGCCCCAGTGCACCTGTTTGCCCATTCCACCAAGTGAGAGGATGCAGCTAGAAGGTGACATCTATGAACCAACAGACAGACCTTCACTAGACACAGAATCTGCCAGTGCATTGAACTTCTCAGCTTCCAGAACTATAAGAAATACATTCCATTGTTTATAAGCCAGCCAGTCTATGGTGTTTTGTTACAGTAGCTTGAATAGACTAAGACAACCAACAACCACACAAAATATGCCAAAAGAGAAAATGTTAATTAACCTTTATTAACCATTCCTTATACTTTTTCCTCCTACAAGACTACTTACCTTCAATTTTTATCAGTTATGTTAAGCTGTTTAAGAAAAATTATGCTTAAAGTTTAGAGTCTTTACTCTTTCCTTCATAAAAGGGGATAATCTCTTTGCTTAGTATTACCTTGAAAGCAGGAGGAAAAAAAGTCCAAAAGAGAAAATGTTGGGCTGATGATTTGATGGAGAAAGTGATAGGTCAGATAACATGTTCTAATGATCACGGACCAAGGAGCCAGACCACCTGGGTTCAAATACTAGCTCTGCCACTTACTGGCTATATTTCATGGGCAAGTCTTTATGTCTTACTTTACCCATCACTTAGTACTGACCCAAAGAATTGTTCTTTGATTTGTCAATAGATTTAAAGAATCTAAAAACATGGTCTGGTATAGTAATTGGTCAATAAATAGTAGAACCATGAAAGAACAGGGACAAGAGCAGGTTTCTAAAACGAGTCCTTCTATGTCCACCACTGGCTACATGATACTACAAAGCAGCATGTGGCTGGGGAAAGCCGGGACGGCAAAAAGGTAGTATAAAATTAAGTTTATACTACCCCTGCGTTCTGCAGCTTGCATGCATATTCAATTAAAAGAAAACCTTAAAGTAAACATGATATGCAAATGTAACTTCATACAGGATAATATGTCAAAGAATCTCTACCCCCCCCTTTTTTTAACCAAATGACCAACTGTTTTTATTTGACTAAGTTCTATTTCATGCATAAGCATGATAGTCTTCCCGTTCATTAAACTCTGGCAATAAAAAAAGAATAAGCAGCCTTATTCAGAACAGTGACAATGCCAAGGATGAGGGCAGTCTACAGTTTTACTGTAGCATAAATATATATATTTTTGAAAGGCCTCTCTCCTTTGGCCATATCAACTCTCAGTTCAGATCGTTAAATACAGACAAGTTTCCGAAATCACTTCTTTACTTCTCCGAGATCTTCAATGCTGTCATCATCCACCTCTGGCCCTTTCTCCTGAATGACATCAATGATGTCATCTGTAAAGCCTCCCTGAATGATGATGTCATCCTCCCCTGTTACTGAGGCACCACAGGAGAATTTCTAAGCAAAAAATCTTTGTGCTTCTTTAAGATCAATTTCAAAAGTTGCAAGGCCACACACTCTTGTTATGCAGTTCTTTGCTCCGGGAATTGTGGCTATAGTAACCTTCTGTGGTATGGGCTTCTTTTTTTGTTTTATTTGACCCCTTCCACCTCTCTTTTGTTTTTTCTTCTCCTCTTCCCCTGCTGTTCCCTGACCCTCGCTATTTCCAGCTTCTTGTTTCGGTGAATTTTCTACAGTAAGTTTTGCAAACGCATTTGGAAAATCCTTCTCTAACCACTTGTCTACAGTTAGCGACATCAGGCATACACCCACAGTACACAGCAGAGGACACGGAGTGGGTAATCCGCACCTAACTTGGCACTGTTCTTCGGGTCTCCTCTGCACTCAGCCCCACAGGATTCGGAAATGTCAGCAGCCATTTCACAAACCCAGGCAGTCGCACAGCCCCGCCAACTCTGCTCCCACCGCTACCGCTGGCTGAAGTGACACATGCAACCCATTCCCCGGTCAGGGCTGCCCGAGAGTTCTACCCCTTCTGATCTTTTATAGAAATTAAGGAAAACAATTTTACCTCCATTAAAAGTAACCTCTCCAAGGCAGTCTCTTGGTACTTTTGATGCACAGCGTTTATGGCAGTTGAATTTGCAATCTAAAATAAAAGTATTCAGCTTATTAATTTATATAAAGAGATGATATCAGATACGGTTAGACTTTCTTTAAATGACTCACAGATGAACTATTATTGGTAATAATTAGGTGATGATAAAATAACAATAAAGTCTTCCTCCACTACGAATTCGGGTCTTGGACTAAAGCTCTGCTTTTAAACTCTGACGGCAGGGCCGGCATGTGCTGGGGTGGTGAAGGTGCTGGACTCCCGCAGGGCTGACTGTGGTTTCTGTCCTGGACCTGGCAGTTTGCTTTCTCACTTTCTTTCTCTCTCTGATGAGTGCATGTGCTCTACAGAGGAGTAAAAAATAATACATAAGATCAAATAAAAATAATTCTATTAAAAATGAATGGAAGATAATTAATTCTGACGGCATCTTTAAATTCCTGTTTAATCTACCAGTCACTTACACCAACCCCTACAATTAAGTTTGTTCGTCTATGTGATGAGGATGGTACCATCTGAGTAACACTGCCAAAACGCATTGGCTGCTCCACGTTTCCTTCTCTTACCTCATATCCCCCTTTCTATAGCCACATGTCAAAGATTCTCTAGCTGAGTAAGTTCCTATCCAACATGTGTCAGATATTAGGACCTGATGCACATACAGAACAAAAATAAAGATTCAGCAAACATTTATCAGTAATCTAGTAAGGGCTTTCAACCCAGAGAGAAAGGAATGAGATTCTCATTCCTTTTACATAACGGTTTGCTTCAGCCTACAGGAGCCTGAGCTGACAGCACTGTAGCTGAGCATCAGGTATGATCTGCTCAAACTACTGTATAATTCAGTGTTTCCCAAACTGTAGTCTCCAGACCAACAGCATCATCATTTTTGGCAACCTGTAAGAAATGATCATTCTTGGGTCCCACCCCACACTCACTATATCAGCAACTCTGGGAATGGAGCTGAGAAATGTGTTTTAATGGACTCTTTGAGTAACGCTATTCAACTTAAGACCCACTAAAAACAAACAGAAAAACTCAATAGCTACTGATGTAACTCTCTCTAAAACCAACTTCGAAAGGCAACCAGTAATACCGTGTAGATATAATTTTGAGTCCTTAGAAGCTTTTCTAAAAAAATTGCTAGATAGAACAAGTACTTGTTGGAGAGAGAGAGAGAGAGAGAGAGAAACCAAGTAACCACCATGGAAGATGGCCATGCTGCAATTCCTTCTCCATTTTTCTTTGGAGGGGGAGGAGTGGATTTTGGACATGCACCTATGTGCACGTTCCCAGCGTGTTTTTCAAGCTGCCTGGTCTGAGACTTGAATCATATAGTTGACCATGTGGGTTCCAGCTGCCTTAACCACTGTATCACTGGCTGACCTGGAATGCTTTTATTTTCAAGTTTTATTTGTTTTTCTCTTCAATAAGAGACAGGGCATCCCCTAATAGGGTCCATACTGATCTACCCTCAGCTTCAGCTAGCCCAGTGTACTGAGGAAGGTCTCCAGATACAAACCCAGAATCTTTCCATATGGATCCTGCCTTGCTGAGCACTGCATTTTATCCAGAATCACTGTCCAGCCCCTTAGAATTTTTTTTGTAACTCCTGCAAGTCGAGGAAATCATGAGTATGATGACAACAGCTTAGGTTGAAGATCACTGTAATAAGTCTCATGGGATTAATAATTTGGTGGATAATAAAATTCACATTATATAGAATATTGTCCTTCTCATAAGAAGACATACATGGGAACCAGCAGTTAGCGTAATGGCTATGTCACTGGACTCCCACGTAGTCGACCGTGGTTTGCATCTCAGACTCGGTGGCTTAAATCTCATGCCGGGCGCGTGTGCGTGCGTGCCCAAGATCCTGGGAAGAGAATGGAGGAGAAGGGATTGTGGCGTGACCATCCCCCCTGGGGGGTGATTTCTCACTTTCTGTCTCTATGTCTCTCTCTGTCTGTCTGGCAAGTGCACGCACCCTATAGTGAAAACCACTCCAAAAAAAAAAAAAAAAAAAGAAGACATATAGAGATTCTAGAAGCAGGCATTTTTGTTTCTCTACATTCTTACACATGTTATTAATTTTTTAATGATTTCTTACATTTTACATATGCTTTCAAGCTGCCTCGAAATTTTTTACAACAAAGTAGAAAATAAAAAGATAAATGAATGGATGATGAATGAAGGAATGAAAAGCTGCTCTTTGAACTATATGTTTTCTCAAATGATCTAGCATAACTGTTCTTAGCTAAATTATGTCTTTCTTAATGTGACGAATGAAAATATTAAATATTTTACTTAAGTATCTTAACTCATATCTAAAAATATAGGAATCACTGAAGTACATTATGATTACTTTTTATTGACAATGGGAATAGCTTAGTTTTACAGAAATAAGACTTGTCATTTTCTGAACTGATATAAGAATAAAACATTATTCTTCTAGAACTCTCAGAAGTTAAGCTAATAATCCCATACCAGTTAACATGCTTTATTTTAAAGTTTAAGAATCTACATACTTATTTCAGTTCCTCTACAAAATATTATAGTTTTTGGGGACCCGTGCCAAGCGAGGCGGCGGTGGGCGGAGGGGCCCTGCGCCGGCCCACCCGGGCCCGGCTGCGGCCCCCGCCACCCCCGGGACCTGCGGCAAGCAAGGCGGCGGGGCGCCGGGCCCCCAC